TTTCGCACCCCTCGCCGCAACTAAACTCGCCCATGCTTTTCTACGGCCGCGCATTAGGCTTCAATTTAGCATAGCTTTAGCAGTTGATTGTAGATTTTCTGGTCTATGTGCTGACTTCAGTAGGCTTTGCCTCCCATGTGAATAATGAGAAATCCGCGGAATCGCCAGAATCGGAGAACCAGCAAAAGTCAGATATTCATTGAAATGTTCTAGCCCTCCTGCGGATAGTACATCGATACGTGTCTAACGTTTTCCAATTTCTCGAAGTGGATGCATATATCTTCCTTCCCACGTATTTGTCGATTTCACCAATTCCGGATCCTCTGATTTTCTAGTGCCGTGTTGTATGAACGCGACCTGAAGGCTTCACATATGCCAAAGCCTAGTACTTCGAATGTCGGTGATTAAATGGCTCAAAATGTTGAAAGCAAACAGCATGATTGCTGGGGGGGCGGTCGTTGCCAGCACCATTGGTGGAAGGACTGCGAGGAGGCGTCCAGTCGCACTCCATTCAGCCCTTCCACCGATGACACTGGCAGCGACCGCCCACCCCTAGCGATCGTGCCCACTGCTCCTAAGTCCACTGATGCCGACTCAGCTCTACACTGCAAGTGCTTAGTGCTACAATCTCATGTACTCCCAAATTAATGAGGGAACTTTTACAGGGTCCAGCAGTACTGTGGCAGCCATATGTGGTGAAGCTCTACCTGAAGCTGTTGCAAGAAGCTTCAAATCTTGATACCCTTGAGGTGAGCCTTATTTGAAAGAATGTTTTCTGCGGAACCTCAACAATATGTGATTTCAGGCTTCTGCTGGAGCAATCCAGAACTTGGCAGCCTGCCAGTTTAATCCTAGCGCTGAAGTTCGTGCCGCGGTTCGAGTTGAGAAAGGCCTGCCGGTACTTGTCGAACTGATCCGGCTCAAGGAAGATTATGTGGTCTGTGCGGTTGCTACTGCCTTGCGGAATCTGTCGCTGGATCCAAGGAATCGCGAGTTGATAGGTAATGGGTGTTTTATATTGGATTCCTGGCATTACTTTGTTCGTTTTAAACGCTGCGTCTAGTACACTCCTGCGCGGGCGCTTCTTCCTGCCTTCCGCGCATTGTGCATTGTTTCAACGCACCGCTCTAGGTTGAATTTATATTGTTTTGCGCTTATTCAAATTGTTTCGTGGCGAATATGTTGGCTTCTTACACGTTCACGATGTAACAGTCGTGTCACAGGTCGAGTAGAATAGCATTGGTCGTATAGCACTTGTTTTCTACAGGGACAGATAATGCGTCTACGAGATTTTGATCGTAAAAGCTCCCGGATCTGGTGGTCGTAGACCACCATAGTGAATCAGACGATTGAGCAGGTGCTGGGTATCCTTTCGAGAGTGGTTCGGAGTAGCGGCTTCATTGCACAAAGATGTCACGAAGTCGAGGTATGCGCTTGTTCTCTTTGGTAATGCCCTCCAGATTTCTACTGTCTTTGAGTTTCGTAGTACACCAAAGAACAAATGGAAAACACTTCTTGATAGGATGCTTACGAAGTATGATCACCGAATTCGGTGGAGAATGGATCCAAAATTTCATTGATTCATTTTCTTTTATGCTTACATGTAAGGAGCGCCATGAAACTGGTAAAGGCAAGTACGTTCAAAACTGTGGCCCAGTGGAAAAAAAGCTCATGTCATTGTTTCAAAGAGTTACTCGAATAAGCCAGGTTTTGATAAATAGAAATAAATCTAGCTGGGAGGGAGTTTGATAAATAAAAGGAATAGTAAATCTGATTGAAGGTAAATCTAACGTAAGGACCAGCATACACTGCGAAGCATTATTGTAGTTCCACCCATAAATCTAACCAAATCCGGTCTCACACAACGTTTTTGAAAATGTCCCCACTTGCTCGCCGTAGGAATCCGATTCAGACATGATTCCTATGCGGCTATCAATCTGAGGCATTACTGACAATGCATTCAAACTCGACTCGGATTCAGAGCTGAATGGTGGTTGCATGGTTTGGTGGCATCACTTTTCCACCTGCATGTCAACAAATGCAAGCAAACGTCTTCCAATCAGGACAGCTTGTCCGATGCCTTTAAGAAGTGCATTCTCTTGAGTCATCATAGGAAATGATGTGGTTGAGAAGCACCGAAGTGTACAATCGGCCTGATGTACAGTCATGTTCGCTGCAAACAATGGGGCGTGTGACGGAGGTGTTGATTGGTGGCTGCTAGGGCGTCCTTTCCCAACAAGGATGCTATCTTGAGTCCGCAACACTTGGCAGAAAAGGTTGTTCCAGCAACGCTCTAATTCACGCCCCTTTACTCGCCCCATCGTTTGCACTGATCACGCCCGTAGACTGTCAGTTGTTAAAACCTTGAAGTTTAGTGATTCAGACGAATTATATAACCTGGCAGGCGGTAGATGTATCAGTACCTGTCATGTGGCAGTTTGATCGTTCCAAGTGATCCGAATGCCAAGTGAACCATATTAGTAGGGCTCTATTTGGCAGCTATCCGAATGAGGAAACAACTTGCAGCTAATCGGCTCGATTGAAATCTAAATCTTTAGATTAGTGCTCATATATTAGTTCGCTAGCGTGCTAGCACTAGTTCATACGGATGTAGTGGTGTGCATGAGACGCCGAGCCCATTCACTACTAGTTGTTGAGGAGGGTATGCGACAACAGTTGGTATAAAACGAGTGATACGAACGATATGATACAGTCATGTCGCTTGCTCGCTTCAACTGCTGGTAGAGAACGGGTTTGGTACCGCGCCAAACTCATCCCGCCTGACACACCCCTTCGAAGTAGACTACAACAGCAGCAGCAGGCAACAAGTACGGGATGAACGGTGGGAGGGGGAGAGAATGTGCGATTTCACTGTAGTCTTCATGTCCTCGTTTGATGAAGACTATGCTTTGGCAATCGTCGAATGAAAAGCGCTAAAGGTCTTGCAGATGGACCGAAATCGAGAATTGGGGGGAGGGTTCTCGGGGAAACATAT